CTTTCTAAAATAATGATAAAAAGTAAAATATAATAAATACATAAACCAGCAACATAGTCATTTATTATCATCAAGTATTATGTACTGAACATAATTGTATGTGCTATACTTTTATATGACTGGCAGTACAGTAAGTTTGTTTACCCCTGAATCACCACAGACTTGTGAGTAACACCAGGTACTATGATGTCACTGGACCTAGGAATTTCCCAGTTCCATTATAATTTTATGGAACCATCCTCATATATGCAGTTTGTTGCTGACTCAAACATTCTGATGTGGCACATGACTATAAATCTGGAGATCAGGGTTAAAGTTTAGGATGATGCATAAATTTATTTTACCAACATTCAAACAATATTCTTGAGACCAGAGAGTAAAGGGAAATGGACAAGAGACATAGTCCCAGGTCTCATTCTTATGAAACTCCAATATTTAGAAAATAGGAAGCAACTTGGGAGGCGGAGGCAGGAGGATTGCAAATTTGAGGCCAGCTTCAGCAACTTTGTGAGATCCAGTCTCAAAATTAAAAAAATAAAATAAAAAGAACCAGGATTCAGCGCATGGTAAAGTGCCCCTGGGTTCAATTCCTAATACACCCCCCCCAAAAAAAAAAGAAGAGAGAGATCGAGAAGATGGGAAAACATCAGAAAGACTGAAAAGACCAAGTAGTGAGTCAGGATGAAAACACAAAGGGTCAGTGTTATTATCATCAAGTATTATGTACTGTACATAATTGTATATGCTATACTTTTATATGACTGGCAATGCAGTAAGTGTAGTAAATTTGTTAGTAATTCTAACGTGCTTTTTTAAAAAAATACACAACAACAGTGGAATGCATTACAATCTTATTTCACTTATACAGCACAATTTTTCGATCTCTGTATATAAAGTATGTTCACGCCAAATTATGCCATTATAAATATACTCTTTTTTTTTTCATTTAATGAACCAAAGTTTGTCACAGCACGTATATGTACATTTGATTAACAAATTGAGTGTGGGCCCTATCCATGCACCACAGTAGCTGATGGAAACGATCTGGTGAGAGGCAAGTACTGACTTTTTAAGAGAGCACAGTTACTTGGAGGAAACCCAATTAGTGAACCACATGAGCAGGGTACTAGATATTATAGGAAAACAAAGAAGGAGATGCCTGGTGGAAACTGGGAAACCAGTAAAAGACAAGTAAAAGACAAGTAGGAACATGAAGACACCGCCAAGGGACTAGACAGGAGGAAGAAAAGTGGTGGAAAGCAGATGGGATTGTTTTGGAACCCAGGAAGGAGAATGGAACCATCCATCAAGAGGTCAAGCCCAGGGCTGGGGATGTGGCTCAAGTAGTAGCGCGCTCACCTGGCACGCGTGCGGCCTGGGTTCAATTCTCAGCACCACATACAAAGATGTTGTGTCCACCGAAAAACTAAAAAATAAATATTAAAATTCTCTCTCTCTCTCTCTCTTAAAAAAAAAAAAAAGAGAGGTCAAGCCCATGGACAAAATGACTGGTGGGCTGCAAGGGACAAGGGAAAAAGAGAAGTCTAGAATTCAGACTTCTTAGTCAGGTACATGACTCATGCTAACACTGTAAGCAAAACAGGGATGGGGGAGTGAGAAGGTGGCAAGATGACCACCTTAGCTCTGACTGTGTTGCTTTTGAGGTATGCAGTTGTTCAGTAGTCCACTAACTGCAAGGTCTGGAATTCTAGGAAAAAATGTGGATTGGAGAGGGAGATTTGCACTTTATCAGACTGAAAGGTCAGTCTTAGCTGGTCATCTGGTTTCTCAAGAAAAGCCAGAAATCTGAACTTTTTAAATGTAAAATCTTCCAGTTTTAAAATGTAGCCAATCAAATAAAAACAACAACAACAACAACTGTGTACTTTATGTCCAAGGTGGTTCACAAACATGTGCTTTTGCATTTTAATCATATACTGAAGAGAAATTAAGTGGCTAATAAGACTAATAAGTAGTAATAGAGCCAGAACTAGATCTTGAATCTAGATCTTGTAACAAAATATTTCTTTCTTTTGTGATTTTTGATTACACTGAAGAGTGTGTAGACTGAGAAGAGAGAAGGGCAGAGAGCAGAACTCCTGACAATTTTAATTTTAAGCCATTTCTAGAGGATTAAGCACCCAGAAAGATACTTTGAACAAGTAGGCACAAAGATAAGAAGTAAAGATGAGGGAAAAAGCAGAATCTAGACTGTGAAGAGTTTCTGAATGGGGAAGAAGTCCATGGTGTCACATGGCACAGAGAAGTCCAAGTTTATTCCTTGGGCTTAAGTAGAATATCCTCACCATGATCACCTAGTAGGTCAGTAACTTAAAAGTTCATGGCGTATTGCTAAAATAGCCTCAAACAATCACATTCTTTTATTTGTTTGTTTATTAAAAGTAATCCCATAAGTGAATCTATAATTATTTCAAAATAAGTTTTAAAAATATTCCCATAGTAACCACCTTTTAAAAGAGATTTGGAAACATTTATGTTTTCCAATAAGCCTCACATTACCTAAATGTAGGATTACAAACTTAAATATCTACAGGGACCAGGTGAGAAAAATGAAAGCGAGAAAAAGAATTCAGGGGAAAAAACCTTCAAAAATCTGTAGAACACACGTCCTTCCTAAAAAGAACAGCCTTAGTCAGTTCTTAATACATGGCCATTTGGGGCAATCTTGCCAGGTCATCTGGTTTTTTGCAGGGGGAACTGGGGATTGAACTCAGGGGCACTTGTCCACTGAGCCACATCCTCAGCCCTAGTTTGTATTTTATTTAGAGTTCCTTAGAACCTCATTTTTGCTGAGGCTGGCTTTGAACTCCTCCTGCCTCAACCTTCTGAGCATTTAAGATCACAAGTGTGTGCCACCATGCCCAGGTAGGTCATCTGGTTTTTCAAGAAAAGTCAGAAACCTGAAATTACTTTATATAAAAATCTATCAATTTTAAAATGTAGCAAATTAATTTAAGTTTTTTACAGGATTGTGAATCCTGTAAAATTTCTTTTAAGTTCACATAAGAGAAATCCATCAATAGGTCCAAGATGGTTTTATGTTTGCTCTATTAAACATACTATGATATAGCACTTTAATCTTATACACTGAAGGGAAATTAAGTGGCTAATAAGAGGCTTATAAGCAATAATAATGATTTAGAATCTAAATCATTTCAAAATATTTCCTTCCTCTGTAATTATAAAACCTCTTTATCTAAGAAATGAAATATACACATTGATTAGCTGAAGATACAAGTTAATAATCATGACAAGCTATGATAAATTTAGGAGTGATGGCCTAAACTTTATGTTTAATTACTTCAAATGCACTGTCTCTTCTGAAATGTTTTTAAGTACAAGCTCCAGAAAATTATTATGATTTATCAAATCAATTGTGCATGCCTAACAAATGTTGCTTTAAATTAATAGGAAGGACACAATTCTGTCTTTAAGCAAAATTATAACTCAGTGAAACGAATATCTTTAGAACCAAGTTTTTAAGATAACATCATGTCGATATGTAAATTTCTGGAGAAAAGTTTAATTATTACTCATAGAAAGCTAGACTCCAAATTTTAAGATATTAAGATTTTATTTACTTATAATATAGACTATACTCATCCATCTATGCAACATATATTGTGAATCTACTGTTCAGTGAATAGTCTCAAGCTTAGAAGACATACATTTAAACTAATAATCTCAATAAATCCTGGAGGTAAGTACTACAGTTAACCATGAGGAAGGGGTTAGCATAGCTAATTGTCTTTGTTCTTATTAACAGTCCTCTAATGTGGAGTATGTTGATTTTTCAAAAACCAGGTATGATAGCTTCAAAGGCAGAGAGTTTGGTGGGAATAGATCCAGGTGTTTGGGCTGCAAGTCCATAACTAAGAAACAGAACAAAAAAAGGAGTCGTACTTTTTTATCTTCTTCTTTTTTTTTTGGTGGGGGTGGGGGTGAGAGGGTGGGGGGTACCAAGAATTTAATTCAGGGGCTCTAAACCACTGAGCCACATCCCCAGCCCTATTTTGAATTTTATTTGGAGACAGGGTCTCACTGAGTTGCTTAGCACCTCGCTGTTGCTGTGTATCTTCTCTTTCTCAAGAAGTTGAATACACTCCTTTGTGCATGCCTTTGTAAAGTAACATTTACTTATATTAAGTTCTAGATAATGTTAGCTGTGTCCTCTGAGTTACAGCACTCCAACTCATACCATGTTTTATTTTTCTTTTGGGAGTCACAAACTAGTTTGAACTTGAAAGACGTTTTCTGTTGCAGGGAGAAGCATGTCGGTTAGAAACAAGAGAATCGGTTTGGTGCCAGGGTCATCAGAATCTAGCAGCGTTTGCATAAAACCTAATCCAAATCCCAACCCACCAGTTTTTCTGCGGCTATTTAGTATTCTCGGCAAAATCAGAACGTGGCCTCAAGGTGTCACTGGGCTTGGCTCAAGCTTTTGCCTACAGTTTGGCTAAGGAGTTCTGAAATTAGGAACAAGGCCTGTATTTACTGGGTGAAATGTTATTTACAGTCGGGGCCTGAGGAAGCCAAAGCCGACAACAGCTGAGCTGCAGCGCGGTGCCGCCGCCATGCAAGCAGGTCACACACTGCTCACCTTCACAGTCAGTCTCCGGCCGTCCCCAAGCCTCCTGGCCCTGGGCCGGCACCGGATTCGAGACCCAAAGCCCAGCACAAAATGCCATCACGGCAGCGGGACTAGCGCACCGCATGCTGAGCCAGCAGCTCTAATCACCTCTACCACTCGGGGGTTGCTGAAGGTTCCCACAGGACCTACCGAAGAGATTGGAAAGAATCTGCCCAGAGTTGCTAGGACAAATGACGCAACTCGAAAGAGAGTTTCTATTGGCTCTTATGAAAGGCACAAGAAAGGGAAAGGAGCTAAGGACCCTCTTCCTGTCCCTCACCAGTTTACGCGTGCGCACTATCGCACGCGCTGTGCGGCTCCTGGGGAGAGCGGGGGACGCACTAAAGCCATTCGCAGACTTTTCGGAAAGGAAGGCGGGACCTTCACACAGATTGGTGGCAACGCGGGAGGCTGGCTCGTCAGACCGGACGCAGTAGGCGGGCGGGAACGTGAAGTCTCCGCGGTGCCTGATGGGGCTGTTCGGTGGCGGATAGCTGTTGCCTCTGGGGGTCCCTTGGTTACTGCCGCCGCTGTCCTTGCCGCCTCATGGCGGCCATCGGAGTCCACCTGGGCTGCACATCAGCCTGTGTGGCCGTCTATAAGGTGAGATGCTGAGGAAGTTGGGCTATGGATTTCATGTCAGGTACCCCGTTCTCGGCACCTTGTTATATACAGGTTAAAGACGCCGTGTGTTGTCGGCCTACAAACGTCGCGTGGAGGCGCGGCCCGTATCCCGCGGCTTATTTGGCAAGCCCGCTGCGCCCTGGTTGAGGCTTCTGGCTACGCAGATGCTCAGGTTTCGAGGATGCCCAAAGGGATCCTGGGGACGTCGGAGCTAAGGGATGCCAGCAGGGTTCCGGGTACTTCAGGGCCGCAGGATGCCCAGAGGGGTTCCAAGGATGTCAGGGCCACACGGTGCCCGGAGGAGGCCTGGAGACTTCGTAGCTGTAAGGGTTGCTTGGAGAGGTCTCGGGGATGTGGTCAGAGGATGCCTAGAGGGTTTCGGGAGATCTCAGTGCTTCAGAATACCCAGAGGAATCCCCGAGGCAGGGAGTACGTTTTGGCTGCAAAGATGTTTGGATATATCAGGACCACAGGATGCCTGGAGAGATCCCCATGAGGTCCTGGCCACAGGATTCCGGAGGGGTCTTAGTGATATCAGGGCTGCAGATGCTCAGAGGGGTCTCGGTGACGTCACGGTCTCAGGAGTCCTAGAGGTGGGCAGTCCCTTTGGCGCCAGGGCCACAGGACTTGCTGAGTTTGACCTTGTGTCTGGGATCCAGAGGGGCGGGTTGCGAAGATCTGGAAGCTAACCCCAGCGCGCCTGGCTGTGAAGCAAGTAGATGGGAAGTGCCCCTCGGACTGAGAGTTCAACAAGAAGTTGTGGCCTTTCTCTCATCAATAACAAGATAGAGGGAAAATAATAACGAACTCCCTTGTTCCTAGTCCCGCATTTAAATGTCAGATGTTTTGTTAAGGAAAGTCCACAGGGATTAGTGCTACTTCATTTGTGGAAAAGGAAAGAAAGATATATTTGTAGGAGATAGCCTGATGTAATAGATGCTTGTTATTATCTTGTATAGAAAGGTTGTTATTATATTTGATCCAATAGTTGACTTTGCAGAGCAGACTGAAAAACTGAGGCAGTTGTTCATGGAATGTTAGCCATCCATAAAACCTAGGGAATTAGTAGTGGTAATTAAGTACCATTTTTAAATATTGATAATAGTGACTTTCTTTCCATCTAGATGGCCCACATTCATTTTAAAATCTCCTTCCCACTGCCTCCTTACTAGTGCCAGGTATTAAAAGAACTAATACTGTTGTGTTTTTCTCTAGGATGGCCGGGCTGGTGTGGTTGCAAATGATGCAGGCGATAGAGTTACTCCAGCTGTTGTTGCTTACTCAGAAAATGAAGAGGTACATTTCTCCTCATTTTAGTATTTAGAAGAAAAATTACATGCATTATAATATGTTGTTCTTTTTCAGGTGGTGGGATTGGCAGCAAAACAAAGTAGAATAAGAAATATTTCAAATACAGTAATGAAAGTAAAACAGATCCTTGGCAGAAGGTATGGAACAAAATGATACTTTTAAATATGGTAACAAAAACATGTTTATAAATTCTAGGCTTAATATGAAGTTAAATGGAACAAGAAATATCACAGTTTGTTATTTGTTGCTTTTTATGACTGAGTCCTTTCAGACTACCCCAGTAGGACTGTTTCTTTTGGTTATTATTGTTGGATCTTATCAAGGATGGAATTCACTCAGATATTTGATTTCTTGCTGATAGGTCTGTTGGTATTGAGTGCCAGAGGTGGTAATTTGGACTTTTCACATTTTTATATTATGATTATTTTTTTTAACTGAAGGAACTTGAAAGATTTTGTGGGATTTTGAAGATTTCTTTGTGTGGTACTTGGATTTTTCAAGATCTATTATAATTGGTCATAATTTATGTAGATGCTATTGATTTTCTTTCTTAAGGCCCTCTGTGACACTTTCTGGGAACTGACTTTTCCAGTTGGCTTTCAAATTTAATCATTAGAGAAACAGCTTAATTAATGTCTTATGTAAGAATCAGGTTAATCATCTGTTCTCACTTTAATTAGAAGATTAAAGAGGCTTTCTTCCTCAGACTTCTGTCTCCTCAAATTATAGATTATCATAATAATTAATAGTTTTCCTTCACTAAAGTAGTAGTACTTGATAGAGTGTTTTTTAAATTTTTCAGGTGCTTTCACATCTATTATTTTATTTCATCCTCTGAACATCTCTATAGAAATTGGTAGGGTAGGTACTAACCTTCCCCATTTATGGATGAACAAATCATGGTACATGGAAGTGGTGGCATATTTAAATTTTAGAAAGGTGAAGTAGATAAGACTTCAGTTCAGGTCTCCTAATCCTCAGCCTCAGATTCTGTCCTTCCCCCTGCCTCCCTACTAGTGCCAGGTATTGAACCCAGCTACATGCACAAGTTGTTCTACCATTGAGCTATACCCCCAGCCCTTGTCTTTCTGTTTTATCTAATGAAAATTTAAGTGGACATATCCTTGTGTTGAGTTTAAGATTTAGAGATTACAGATTAATGTTCATTTCTGTTACACGTGCAGGGTTTTATAAAATTATCTCTTGATATTTTTAATTAAATACAACTTGATATTAATATTTTTACCTTAGGATGTTCAGAGACTAAGCCAAAAATTATAGCATTTTGGAGAGAATTCAGATATTTGTGATGAAAAATTTATTCCTATATCCTTTAACTTATTGGTAAAACTTAGTTCAAAGCATGCTAGAAACAAATTGGCTAGTGTCAAATATTTTTCAAATCATGAACTGGAAAAAAAGCAAGTGATTATAATAGGTCTTGAAGCCAGAATCACTGAGAAGCCAACAATTTGATTTCTTGAGATAATTATGATTTTACGTGGTATTATAAGAAATAAACAGAGGCATCCAATATATTATTGAATTTACCAGTTCCACCAATAGTAACTTCTGGCATAATTGTAAGATAATATCACAATCAAGATACAGATATTGATATAGCCAAGATACAGAATATTTGCATAGATCTGTTGCCTGGTAGCAAATAATATATATGTGTAGTTTGTTTTGTTTCTTTTATGCTGCTATATGGGGGTGGATGGTTAGAGTAATGAAATAGCTGTCTTCTGCCATGTTATGTGGAAAGTGTTGTATTAGCAGAACAATTGAAACTCACTTTTCTGGCCCTGAAAGTAACCTTTTAGTAGAGAAGTGCAATAGTGGCAATCAGATGGATAACAAATAGCCACAACATGCTAGTTAGGTTAAGGTGAGTAAAGGACAAGTATCCTTCAGATATATTTTGCTTTCACCATGGTCCTGCCAGTACTTCTCTAGAGTTAGTACCTCATGGTCCAGGTTATTTTTCTCTTCAGCCTGTCTACTTCCTAGAGGATGGGGATTTTTACAGATCCATAATTGTACTAGGTGTTAACCCTGAAAGCATTTGGCTCTTTGTGGACAAGCCAGTTCTTTTGTGAAGCCCCTGGTCCAGTACCCACCCTGGGCAAACTCCCAAAGTTGGGCTTTCTCAGTCTTGGCCTCATGCCTATTTATGATCTACTCACAGGTAGCATTACTTAATTTGCTGCCAAATGATCCTTACACCCTCCCTGTAACTCTCATTCCCCTGTGGCTTTCCAGCCAGAAATGCGGTCCTTGGACCTGGCATCTCAACAATTAGCTCTGAGAGGGAAGAATCGGCTGGCTCCTGGAAATGTACTGAGAGTACACAGAGCTTCCCCACACCTTCAAATTTGCACCCTGCTGCCAGGAGCTTGCTTCAATAGCCTTCCTTCCTTCCCAACCCACTATGGCCACTTCCAATAGCAGTGCGGGCATCCGGTGGTCCAGACAGGAGACACGAACTCTTCTCTCCATACTAGGCGAGGCAGAGTATATTCAACGCCTCCAGACTGTGCATCATAATGCAGATGTCTATCAGGCTGTGTCTAAGCGAATGCAGCAGGAAGGCTTCCGCCGCACCGAACGTCAGTGCCGCTCCAAGTTTAAAGTTCTGAAGGCATTATATTTAAAGGCCTATGTTGCCCATGCCACAAGTATGGGTGATCCACCTCACTGTCCATTTTATGATACGTTGGATCAGCTTCTCCGAAATCAGATAGTGACTGACCCAGACAACTTAATGGAGGCTGCTGCTTGGGCCAAGCACTGTGATCAGAACTTAGTTGCCTCTGACATCCCAGGGGAAGAGGGAACCAGCATTCTGAAAGCAAAAAGGAATCAGACAGCTGATCGTCAGACTATCTTGAAAACAGTTAAGGAATCAGATGAGGATTGTCAGCTGAGAATCAGTGACCGGATGCAAGAATCCAGTGACCTCGAGGACTCCTGGGCTGAATCCTCGGGTGCAGGTAACTCCCAAGCATGTGAAGAATTGGGGTCTCGGAGTCACTTGGTTCTAAACAGCAATGAGTGGTTGGATAGTGCCCTCTTTAACACAGGCCTTATTCCTGCCCCAACCCCACCCTTTTTTTCAAACTTCATAATAAGATAAAGGGCTCAAGGTTTTAAAAATCCGTCACCCTAGGTATTTAAGAAATTAGAACTCCTTAATTCTTGGAACAAAAATGGAAGACATTCTTTTTAGAACCAAAAAGCATTTCCCCATTATTTCTTATGGGGAGTTAGGAATTTGTGGGAATCAAATGGGTTGGATAGCTAGGGAAAAGGGTTTGGCAAGGCAGGGGGGACTTTTTGGAGTTGAGACAACAATAGGCCAAAATGTCCAGATTGAAGAATGATTTCCATTCCCTTGTGGAGAGAGGCCTTTCCAAGAACCATCCTAGTTTTGTAACTGTCTCAAAACTCTGCTGTAACTCTGCTGCTGGCTCCAAGCATTCCCTTACCAGGAGTGTCCTCTTTGCAACGTTGTTGCTTTGTTTTTCAGGGTGCTCTCAAGGGACCCCCAGCTACAGCAGCTCCCACAACCTTTTCAGAGGTGCAGCTGCTCTCTGTCAGAGCAGCCCTATGACCAGACGGGGTATGTCGGGTGAACCCAGTCCCTGCACCAGCACCAGCCGAAACACTCCTTGTGTAGCCTCCACACCGCGGCCTCCAGTCTCCTCTTCCAGAGTTGGTTTTGTCTCTGGCGAGGATAGGCCTTTGACCAGTGAGCCCCCTCCAAAGTGGGCAAGGCGAAGAAGGCGGTCAGTTGCCAGAACTATTGCAGCTGAGTTGGCAGAAAACAGGAGATTGGCACGAGAACTTTCAAAGCGTGAGGAAGAAAAACTGGACAGGTTGATTGCTATTGGTGAGGAGGCCAGTGCCCAGCAAGACGCTGCCAATGAGCTGCGCAGGGATGCTGTCATCGCAGTCAGACGCCTGGCGACAGCAGTGGAAGAGGCAACTGGTGCTTTTCAGCTAGGGCTCGAAAAATTGCTTCAAAGGTTGATTTCAAATACCAAAAGCTAGGAACTGGTTTCAAAAGGATATATTTCCTAAACGGTAGAAATCTACTTCCAATACCTGTCTTCTGGTACTCTTGACTTCTTTTCTATATCCTCAGAAAAAAAGAAAAAAAAAAAGAGTAGACGAACCATTAATATAGTAGTAGGGAGTAAACTTGTAAATTCCTTTTCCTGGGATTTTCCACTAATTGAAAGACCTTTCAGAAGTGTGAGGGGTGGCCTAGTAAAAAACAGATGGAGCCAATTCAAGTGAGCTAACTTGTTCTGGCTTTGTCACAGATATGAGGCAGTTTACTTTACCTCTCTGCAACAGTTTCCTCATCTGTAAAATGGTAGATAGATAATAACTCCTGCCCTGCCTACCTCACAGGGTTGTTGTGAGGATCAGATGGCTAATAGATGTGAAAGGTTTAAACATTTAAAAGCACTATACACATGTAAGTTATTACTGCATATAACCTTGGCTTTGGCAAGGCCAGGGTGAGCACATTAGTTTACAAATATGGCCATGTACCATGACCTCATTGCTTGAATCTTTACTTGTTTAATTTGCTTCATGGAGTATGAGATCTTAATTGTTAAATCCCTCTGTGGCTCATTAGACTAGTATAGGCACAACATGTATTTGTCTTCTATAATTTCACTGCCGTGTCTCTGATATATCTACTAGTAGGTGCCCTATTTTAGTAGTCAAACCAGCTTTCCCTCCTTCATTTTACTAGTTCTTAGTCTCCTATCAAGATAAGGATATAATTAAGAACTGACTGGGAACCAAAATAGTGCATTATGGTTCATACTGATAATCTTCAATATGGTGAAATATTGGCTGTTTTATAAAATAGTAAGTGTAAGTAAATTCTTTGCATTTCATATCATTTGGATCCCTTTGTGTGCACAGTTTATATCTTTAAATTTTGGTTGCCATTTGAACATTTGGGAAACAATTTGGATTATGTCAATTTCCAACTTACTATTAGCTAATTTTGTTCTTTTTTTGGCTTTGGTTTTGGTTTATTTTTATTTTATTTATTTTTTGTCTAGCATGTTATAAAGAGCAAGTCCTAGAAAACTTTCCTTTCAGGGAACTTTCCTTGGTCAATCACTTTTTCTCAAGTGGTATAAATAAAAGTTCAAGTAGTTAGTGGCATCTGGTGGAAGTGAACAGCTTTGTTTTCCTGTTAGCTCTGAGAACATTAGAGGGTGGTGTGGACAGGAACAGCCTGCAATAAGTAACTTCTTTATGCACAGCCCTTATTAAACACACTCCCTCACCCAAGCACACACATTCTCTAGTGTGATAAGCAACGCTTCCAGTTTACTTTAGAAGGAAAGTCATTACTTAAAACTGTCAGTGGTTTACTTAATAATTTCAGGAAATTCAAATAGGAGTCTTGGATTTTAAAAGACTTTCCTGCAGTCAAGAATCTGGGAGGTGGGATGGAAGTACATAGGGAGAGGTTTTGTTTTGTACACTGCAGGCCTGGGTTCATATCTAAATCCCAGAAGTGCAAATAGATAAAGAAATGATCAGAAGAAAACTAGGACCTACCTGAAATTATGACCAGCTAGCTAATAAGCAAGCTTCTCTGATAAATGACTGGTGGATATGTGAACCAGCTGGTGTGGTAGAATGCACTGGAATCTAGTTAGAACTCCTAGACTATCTCTGTCATGGTTCATTTCATTGGACAAATCACTTGCCCTTTTTGTGCCACTATTTGTTTATTTCTTACTTGAGAGATTTGTACTAGATTATTTTCTTCCTAGTAACTTTCAGTTCTTAAAAAAATTAATAGCATAATAAAAGAAAAATGAAAATGAAACCTTAATTGTCATTTTCAGTTCACAGCAGTATATTAATGTATATTTGAAAGACTGGCAACAATTGTATTTTAAGGGAGCACCCTGTGGTATTAATGTTTATTAATGTACCCATGAACTTCTAAGCACTGCATCATGCCTACAGATTCCTTACTTTCAAGAAGCATGTGTTAAGGCATTGAAATGGATATACATATATCCATTGTTTCAGTTGTTTTAGGCCATTATGTGGAAAGATGTGTCAGTTATAACTGACTAACACTAATGTAGATAAATAGATTATCTGGAAAAACAGGGAAGTACTTGAAGGAGAGTTGGACCTGTCCCATATAAAACTACTAATGGTAGCAAAGTACATAAGCAGGGATTTACTTGAGATAATAAAGTGCTGAAGAACAAAAGTGGAATTAAACTTTGGTAATAGATTGTGAATATCTAACGGGTGAAATAACCATAATGTGAGAATAAAAGTTAAGGGAAAGGTCCTTAAGAAGTAGTAGAAAAATATACTAAGAATATTAAAGGGAGAGAACTTGTATAAAGGGAGACCGTGTGCAAGAAAGCAAGCTGGGAATCCTACTTAAGCCCCAGGCCCAACCATACTACCTGGACATCCTAAGACAAACCTTTCACCACACTGTAACTCAGGTTCCTCTTCTAAAGTGAGAAACTTGTTCTACCTACCTCACAGGGATGTTGTGAGGATCCAATGAACAGATGAATGTAAAAGCACTGTTAGACATGTAGGCACTAAAATGTAATAGGAGTAGGGATGGAGACCCTGTAGCACTTGAGTGCTGGTGTGTGCCATGCCTGGGGGCCTGATGACTGTAAGAGTTACTTGAGGAAGAGGAAAAAGTGATATTACTGGTAAAGTTTGTGATGCAATGGAAGGATTCATGCTGCCTCCTAAAGACCATGATATGAATGAGGTGCTATGTAGACCAGCTTCCACCACATTTGTTTTTCTGTTAAGTAACTTAATCCGAGTGTGGACAAATAAAGTTTTTACTTGTGTGTAGTTGTGGGTCAGTCCGCTACTTTCTGAAGATATCTGTGCACCTGTGTCACCTCCATTCTCTGCTTTCCATACCTCTGCTTTTGAGTCTCTAGTGTCTTGCCTGTATGTGGCCTTAAGAGCAACATGTGCTTTCTGTTTGCATATGAAAGAGTCCCTCTTTGCATGGCAATTAAGAAATCATTTTCTATGAATTGAATAAAAATATCTTTTCTTGAAAATTATCCCAAGTGGTAGATAACCTACACATAGTTGAATAAATTATCCTGGTTGACTTGATTCTGTCCTAAAGAAAATAGCCAGTATCAAAGTATCATGTTGAAATTGTAGTATTGGTGTAAAATCCCACTATGGGCACACTTCATCATTTTCTTCCTAAAAATATTTGGAATGTTGTCTTAATATTGGGTTTAGAAAAAAGAAGGAGCAGAGGATTTATTGAATACTAAACTTTATATTGAATATCTGGATGCCAGCTAGTGGTGCCTTTACTTAACTATGTCACTTTGGGCTGGCTCCTTACCTGTTTCACCTCCCGTTAGTTGATTTTCTAGGGAATAGAGAAGGAAGAGTAATCTGCAAGTATACTAGAATTATAAGCCAGATTAGTCCATTTTAAACCCTTTTGTCTTCCTCTTATTTACCTGGTTAAAGGTCTTCATATGTTGTGTAACACACAATGAATCAATAATAATTTTTAGCTCTTATTATACATTTTAGACTGTTTCTGTATATAATAGCCATATCTACTTGGATGACTTCTAGTAGAGATGCTAATCTATTTCTTCTTAACTTCTAGATGAATTTAGCTAAGGATCAGAGATTCTCATCCCTGCAGGGGTAGAAATATAGTGGTCACTTATAATATTAGTGAGAGGTAGTTTGCTTAAGTGAAAAAGGCCTAGCAGATTTGCACCTTATTGAATTATGAGTCTGCCCTTCTGAACCTGTTTATCTCTAAAATAGTGTTCATCAAATAATTCTTGGGTCAAATAGGTAATAAATGTGAAAATACTCTGTAAATTGATATTATCTTGAGCAACAAAACACTCCTTGCTTTCATGTTTTCTTTGCCATATACATTTATTTAGTATGGGATATTATAGAACTATCTATACTGGATATAGCAGTACTATCTTTCCATATACAACATTTATACTTTTGCTTGGTCTTTTGATTTGGGGTATTGATTTTTTTGTTCAGAAATCTAGCCACAAAGATGATGTTAGATCTTTGCCCTTAGTTTACAATGTTATCTCCTTTGTCCTTTTTATCTCAGTGGCTAGGTCTTCAGGATTATAGGTGTGAAATTGTAAGATATAAAATTATTGACATTATCTCAAAATGTATTGGCAAGATCAGAATAAGAGTTATTTCCTTTCAAATGTGGAGCTTAGTACTTTAGTGGAATTACTATAACCATTGTAAATACTCCATTTAATTCTGTTTTCTGTAATTGAAAAAATTTTTAATTAAGCAGTTTAATAATTTTGTTGATATTTTAATGTTTCTCCACTGATATTAAAAAATGTAGTGATCTTTAAACTTTATATATCTACATTACTAATTTTAATACTTAGCTATCTTTATATTTCTCTTTATGGACAGCTCTGATGACCCACAAGCTCAGAAATACATCATGGAAAGTAAATGTTTAGTGAGTATGGTTCTCTTATTGGTTTCCTATCACACAAAGTAATTGCCAAAGATCACGTATGTTGATTTGAAACTATATTTAAAAAATTATTGTTCAGCACAATTATAATTTCTTTTCTAGGTTGTTGAGAAAAATGGGAGATTACGATATGAAATAGATACCGGAGAAGAAACAAAATTTGTTAACCCAGAAGATGTTGCCAGACTGATATTTAGTAAAATGAAAGGTATTGAACGAAAGAGAAAACAATTAACTTTAAATGATCTTTAAAAAGTTGACCTTAAGAAAAAGATGACATTATTTTGGCTTTTGGGAGAAGCTGAGTATACAGCTGACTGTAGAAGGCAACATATATTATAGAACTGGTTTGGTCACTAGCTGGCTTTATAACCTTGATTAAATGACTTATCTTCTATGACTTTGATTTCCTTGTTACTTTCACATTGAGTATCCTTTATGTGAAATGCTTGGAACCAGGATTACTTCAGAATTCAGAGTTCCTCAGATTTGAGGATATGTGCATAGGTCTTGGAGTTGAATATCCCCAATCCAAACATCTGAAATCTGAAATGTTCCAAAATCCAAAACTTTTTGAGCATTGACTTTGAGAATTTCATATTTTCAGAGTAGTCCTGTCCACACTATAATGTAAGTGGATTGGGTTAGATGAGCATTTTCAGAACTTCCTAATAGTCAGCAGTCAAATAAATATGAGTGATGAATATTATATCTCTTAAGATTATCAGCAGATTTTGAACAGCAGTGTAGGCAGATCAAATAGGTATTAACAACCTGGGAAATTTTGGAGTAGATTATTTATAAGGGTCATTTATGAATCTGTGAGGTGGAAGACAGCCCTTGTATTGAAACAACATGATGCTATATCTTCACATTTACTCATTAGTAGCTCATTCTCTATGGAACCAAACTAATTTGGAAGATGGTTGAAACGTGGAGTGGAATCAGGCTCTTTGAAAAGTACCTAGTTCTGTGTCCACAAGCTATCACCAAAATCACACTTTATGATTTATATGAAAGGCTCTTTGAAAAGTACTTAGTTCTGTGTCCACAAGCTATCACCGGAATCACACTTTATGATATAGGGTAAGGTAGTCCAGTGAATTGGAATATTTGTTTAGTGAGATGATCTTTGGCATGAATTTTAAAAATTTCAGAAAGTATTACTTCATATTTTTCTTCTCTCATCAAAATTTATTTTTCTATTTTTTTTTCTTTTAATGTATAGAAACAGCTCATTCTGTCTTGGGGTCAGATGCAAATGATGTAGTTATTACTGTTCCCTTTGACTTTGGAGAAAAACAAAAAAATGCTCTTGGGTAAGTATACTACAGAGTTTATCTTATTTGCTTAATTAGGAGGAATGCAAATTTCTTGGTATCACGATAGAGTAAAAGGTAAAATTGATTTTCAAAATAACTTACCTGGGGCTGGGGTTTTGGCTCAGTGGTAGAGTGCTCACCTAGTGCGGGTGAGGCACTGAGTTTGATCCTCAGTACTACAGAAAAATAAAGGTATTGCGTCTACCTCCAACTAAATAAATATTAAAAAAACCTTACCCAATAAATTATGTTTATAAATACTATACTATGGCAATAATATTTCCTTTTACAAAATATCAAGAGAACAAAAAAGTTAGATGTGTGGTACCCTATTAGCTGTTTTGATTGGAAATGTTGTTAATTACTGAGTTAAACTGATGTTTATGGATCACTTTGCCTATTTCATGTAATTAAAATTTATGTGGAATTACATAGACTATTCAATTGTGCAAAATTTTCTGAATATTTCATCATCTTAAATTGTAACATCTAAACAAAAAAGTTAACATTTCGTGTTTATGGGTGATCATGAGAATAATTGGGGAACATGCCTTTGCTTTTTCATCAGAGATTTCATCAGGGGCTTTGACAAGCATGGAAGTTGCTTCTGAGACAGAGAATTGCAATGTTTATCTTTAAAAACTGATCCTAGATTTTAAAAAGTTGGAAAATTCCAATCTGTTTTATGAATTTATCTTAATGTCTTTATAACATTTTTAAGCTTAGGGCTGGGGTTGTAGCTCAGTAGCAGAGTGCTTGCCTCACACATGTGAGGCACTGGGTTCAATCCTCAGTACCACATAAAAATAAATAAACAAAATAATGAGATTGTGTCCATGTATAACTAAAAAATAAAAATAATAATTTTAAGCTTGGATTTTTTTTCAGTATTTATTGATTACTATTTAATCCACATTGTATTCAGGTTTGAATACATGGAGATAAATAAGATATGGTTCTGACCTCACAGAATTAGCAGGACAATAGGGAAGGGTGTAATCAGTGTTTTGAATTGTGAAAGTTCTGAATAACATATAGGAGGGCATCTCTTCTAGACACTGAGAGCCCAAAAAGAATTCACAGAAAAAGTGAACTTTTTTCTTCTTAGCATAGACCTTTTTTTTTTTTTCTAATTTTGCCACTCTGATGGGTTTTTTAATACTTTTATTTAATGTGCTTATTTTTATTTAGTGCTGAAGATCGAACCCAGTGTCTCACACATAAGAAATTAACTTCTGGTTTTGTATGTTTTAATCTATATAGACTGTGTTGTAATAACTTGCATAATACATAGAATTTCTATATTCAGTTCTCTTAAAATTTATTATAATTCTTGATTTATAGGCAAGTGCTCTACCACTAAGTTATAACCACAGCCTAGCATGGACATTTTTGAGTTCTTTATTTTTCTTACTTAGTATAAATCCATGATATTTTCTTTGTCAAAAAAATGGACTCTGAACGTTGTAACTTTGAATAGAAAGTGAACTCTTGAAAGAGTCCTTTCCATTTCAGATGTTCTTCTTTTCTTGAACTTCATGTCTGCTTCATGTCTACTTGTGAAATCTTGCTTGCTATTGCATACTTTTTTATCAGAGCTTTTCTAAAGGTGTAGAATTAAACATTGTGATATTAAACTTATTGAAAACAAATTGTTCACAGAGAAGCAGCTGGAGCTGCTGGATTTAATGTTTTGCGTTTAATACATGAGCCATCTGCAGCTCTTCTTGCTTATGGAATCGGACAAGACTCCCCTACTGGAAAAAGGTAAAAACCATATTTGCAGTAATAAGTTTTCTCAGTTTTGAAAATTTTTTAGATTATAGAAATAATATAAATAGGGATCGTTATATAATGTAGTGATTCCTCACCTTTATATATAGAGAGAATAAACTTCCCACCTAGAATTTTTCAAGTTATTGAGAAAGAGATAATTGGGAAAGCAGGGAAAGGACATAACAGAAGGGGAGATTGATCTTTTCTGCTCTTCTCTCTATTGGAGGAATATTAGAAAATTACAAGTCCAGCCCAGTTCCAATGGAAGCTTGGACATTGTTCATTTTACTCTCAATTCTAATTATTAGACATGCTTAGAAGAAGTGATTATGTTTTATGTATAGTTGAATTGTCAAGAGATAGGGAGAAATCCAGCCTAAAGATATGAGAAGATTCACCATTCTTTTGATGGTGAAATAGCAAATATATACTTATTACAATTTAGCTGTCAACATTTCTCTTAATGTGTGATGATCACAAAACTTTAGAGAAATTAATTGATATATTGTGTTAATTTTCCTTAATGGTTTCACCTCATTCAGTTTCTCATGTTGAAGAAACTAATATATATAAATCACTAGGAAATTATATTTAGGTAAACTAGATGAAGATAGAAATATCAATAAGTATGAATTTTGATACATAAGAAATTAACTTCTGGTTTTGTATATGTTTTAATCTATATAGACTGCTGTATTAACTTGCATAATACATAGAATTTCTATATTCAGTTCTCTTAAAATTTATTATAATTTTGATTTATTTTGAAAAATGGTGTTTTGGACAATGATTACTCAGAAAAATATAGTTTTACTAGCATGATTATGTAAAAATGAACATTGGCTTGAATTCAGAAGCACTAAGTTAAAGTTGGATTATATCTAAGTGACTGTAGACAACTTATTCCTCTGAGATTTTTAGTTTCTTCATTTGCAATTTAGAAGGATTAAGTTAAGTGACTTCTACCATCCCACCTGGCTTTAGAATGTTGTGATTCTCTGACAGCCTACTCACTTTATCTTTCTCTTGAAGCAATATTTTGGTATTTAAGCTTGGAGGAACATCCTTATCTCTCAGTGTCATGGAAGTTAACAGTGGAATGTATCGGGTTCTTTCAACAAACACTGATGATAACATCGGTGGTGCACATTTCACAGAAACCTTAGCACAGTATCTAGCTTCTGAGTTCCAGAGGTGAGTTTTAATGGTCTAGATAATACATTTTGATTGAGGCTGCTCTTCAAGTGTAAAACATTTTTCCCTTAATTTGCTTTAAATTACTATGCTGCAAATGAAGATTGGTTTTTTCATTGCATGGGAACTACCAATAGGAAGGATGGGCACTAATTTATGTACATTTGACTTGGCAGAAGATAGTGGGGTCAGGGAGGATCCAGCCTGAAGATTTAAAGATTTTTTTAACTTTTCCTTTTGCTTTTTAGTTGTGGATAGACACAATACCTTTATTTTATTTATTTATTTTTATGTGGTGCTGAAGATTGATCCCAGCGCCTCACACATGCCAGGCAGGCACTCTACCACTGAACTACAACCCCAACCCCAAGATTTCCATTCTTTTAGTAGTGAAAAGTTACAATGTCCTGGGATGCAGAGGCCAAGCTGCCTAGTGTAGGGTGCTGGAATTTTTCACTGAGTGCAAAGGAACCAATAGCCACTGAAATGTTTGGGTCTGGTGACAGCTTTATTGTGTTATCATCATCTCAGTGAGTTAATATCTTTTGGAGTATTTATTTTAATAAATCTACCACAAAGAATATTTGAGTCTTATTACTGTATGTAATTACTCCATTTAAAGTGTTGATTATATGTTTATATTTTATATGTTTATTATGTTGTATTAGACATTGCCAACCTAAGGAAAAAACAAAACATGTAGTTGAAATAACATTTTCACTAGTTCACCAAATTAATTTGTTGAAAAAGTGGTAATTTCTCACTTGTTTAATGAAGATCTACACTGCTTTGTCATTTTAACAAAGCAATTGATCAAACAGTTTTAAAAATTAGGCGAACTTTAATTTCACATATTTTGTATGTGTCAGATTTCTTTCAAGAAGCACATTTAAGTTTTGAGGTTCTTTAAATGCTCAAAAGATAGTTTTATGCAGTTAAAACAGTGGTTTTGTTGTGATTGTAAAGGGTGAAATAGGAGGCAGACCCAGTTACATAAATCTTCAACCTCTATCTGTCTCACCTGCAAAAGGATATCTATTCTACATTCTTCAAATTACTGTCTATTATTGTGGTTACATAATACACTAATTCAAAATATTAAGTAAATTGGTTATTTTCTCAAATGGACCCTTCTCTTAATTGCAAAAAATATGCCTAGGAAAGTTTAGAGGGATTAGAAGCCAAATACTAACATCTGGTATGTAATATTGATTCATAAATTTATTATTGCTCTAAGAGCAAATATTAGGTTTTAATTTCATTAAATTCTAAATGACCTAGTAATTTTAAATTTCAAAGGCTATGTTTTTAATTTAGGTCCTTCAAACATGATGTGAGGGGAAATGCCCGAGCCATGATGAAACTGATGAACAGCGCTGAAGTCGCAAAACATTCTTTGTCAACCTTAGGAAGTGCCAATTGTTTCCTTGACTCATTATATGAAGGTCAAGATTTTGATTGCAATGTGTCTAGGTAAATCTGAAGTTCAAAAAACTTTAAATCATTCCAAGAGCATCTTATGTGGGTATGATTTTCTCACCTTAAACTTTTTGTTTGTTGAGGTTTATTAGCCATCTATGAGAGGGGAACTTTACTGTCCTTACTTTGGGGGTTCAATTTTTGTCAGACTAAGTAGCTGTTCCCAAAGTAATTACATCAGTTTTGATTCTTGCCCAGTTATTTTAAGTTACAATTAGTGCTGTGTAGAAAAGGCATCCTAGGGGCTGGGGATGTGGCTCAAGCAGTAGTGCACTC